TCCGAACTGGTAAAATATTACTACCTACTTGTTTAGTGATTTTCATCGGAGACAATTGTGAAACCAGATGTTGAGCGGATATTTTCTAAAGAAGGCAGGGTCAATTTATGAAAAACGCTCGAGATTAAGTGCAAATAAAGTGTCACAACTATTATTAATAACTTTTAATGCAATAATATGTTATAATGTTTGTTATTTTATTTTGTAACAACAAATTATCAATATTTAGATATATATTTTGTAATCTTTCATACTTAACATAAAATGATAAACATTATTACTGTTTTGTAATAATATATAATAAATATATTTTGAATTTAATTGAAAAAATATTTCAGTTTACCTCGGTTATTTCAGAAAACATGGGTTCCATCTTCTTATATTCGGAATGTTCTCTCGTTATCACGCAACGCATTCTTGATGTTAAGACGATACGAATCTCTCTTCAGCTTATAGTTGCAAAATATGTAAAACGAATTTATTATGGCTTATTTTCAATTCTCTCTATTATTTCTATGATTAATTGTGTTTACCACGCTTCAAAATGGATTTTTTCCCTTCATATACTCTTTGATTCCTTTATGATTAAATCTTCTCAATTTAGTTTAATTTTTTTGGCCTTTTCAGTTAGAATGTTTTTTTGAACATACGCGCGATGGCTTACATTATGTTTGCATATAGTGTGGCAAGTTGTATCATGGCCCTATAGCTCTTCCTCGTTTTACCGACTATTTTAAACAGATAGAACGTCTTCCAATCACCAAAATTAATTGATTTTTTAGTCCTATTCAGATGCAAGTTGTAGCAGACAACATACACAAGACTAGTCACAAAAACATGCTACAATGCGAACAGTATTAAGTAATGCCAAAAACGATTTCGTGCTAAAAAAAGAGCATTAAGTAATAGATCAACTCAAAGTAGCTTTCATCAACTGAACGTCAAAGATTATACAAAGCAAATAAAAAATTACGATTAAAAAATACAGAAACTCAAGAAGAAGAGTTTACACAAACCCAAGAAGACCAATGTGTACAACATCTCGTTAAAAAATGTTAAATGTTGCAAATAAAAAAGATATTTTACATTCAAAAGGAAATTAAATTAAATTTTACCTATTCCTGATCCATTTATAAATTATTAGACAGAAGAATATTAAAATTATAAAATAAAATTATTATTGTCATCATGCGTTAAACAAGTTCAATATTTTATGGTTTCTATTAATTTATGAAGTTATCACTTCTGCCGAGCGTCCCGTGACGCACATCATTTTTTAAAATTATATTTGTAATTAAAAATATAATCCCACAATCACACCATTACGCAAATTAAAGGGGGCGATATTAATAATATCGCTCTTGGAAATATCAATGAATTTAAGAGAAAATGAAATCGTAACTCAAGAAAACTATATATCAAAATGCAAGACTACTGCAACACTTTTTGCTGTATTTTGTGACAAGGTTTCGTTTCATTCACGAATTAATTTGGCTGTTGAAGTAAATAAAAATATAATATTAAATAATAAAATAATTTGGTGGCTTCGGAGTTGAAAAATTCTGGTTTGCACTCGGGTGCTTGTTTTCACTTTTGAGTCAACAAAAAATAGGTATATTTATGTATGAAAAAGGCATCTTATTAGAAAACGTCTCGGTTAACCGTTTATGATATTTGATTTGAAGTAAAGTATATATATAAGGTAAAGTATACTTTCAGATCGTACGGAAATAGCGGCGAAAAAAAAATGTTCATATGAAAGTGTTGTGGTTGTCGCCAAAGTTTCTGTTTCTGTTACTTGGATTTGAAGTATACATCATCATTATCATCATCATCCAGCTTATTTTCGCGTCCACTGCTGAAAATAAGCCTTCTCCATACACCGCAAAGAAACTATGTTGCACAAGTTGCATCCATTTGCGTTTTATTCTCCGTATATCGTATGCCCAGCGCACCTGTGGTCTGCCCTGACTCTTCTTAATAAAATGTTAGGAGTCTTTGATGTATGTTTCTGTTGATGTTGGTTATCCCCGGGCACTGAAAATTGGTCTAAGCGGTATTTCTTCCTTGTGAACCTTCGGTAATCCATACAAACGTGGGGGAGGGCTTCTGACTTAATGATCGTCTTCATGGCGTTCTGGTCTGTTGAGAATATTTTGAACAGGCAGTTGATGTTTCTGAGCTTGGCTTGAGTCGGGTCTTTCTTGAGCTTCGTGTAAGTGACTGGGTCCAGTAAGTTTTGGATTTTCTGCTCGTACTCCTCTCTGTTCATGATGACTGTAGCGTTGCCTTTGTCAGCTGGCAAGACGATAATGTTTGTATTCCTTCGTATTTCTTTGAGCGCTTCTTGTTCTTCTCTACTTAAGTTGCTCGGTGGTGGTTTCGCTCTTCGTAGGATTTAGGGGGTTTCCAAACGAGTTTATTTGCTGTTTGTTGTGGAAGCCCTTGCAACGCTGTCTAGGTGCTAGAGAGAATTTCCTCTATTGGTATCGTTCTTGCACTAATCGCAAAGTTACCGCCCTTGGCCAAGACAGATTGCGGGCTTGATAACTCCGCAGGCGTTAGTGTATGACTGCTCAGATTCACTACACTTAGTGCTGGGTTCAGGCCTGATGTGGTTTCGGTTGTTCCTTTAGATTTGGCTTCCAATTTATGATTTTTTTTCCTTGTATACTTCAACTTGACGACAACCATAAAACTTTTAGGTATATAAACGTTTTTTTACTCGCTATTTCTGTACACGATCTCGCTCCGCTGACTCACCCTGTAATAATATTAATTTAATTACGCTGAACTTGCACCTTTGTATGAATTGTATATTGAAATTTTTTTGTATTGGATTCTCTATATAGACGATGCGAAAATATTTGTTAAACGGATTATCGCTGCTCTTCTTTCATTTTGTCTAGATTTATCAAATGCTCATTTCTTACCCGTTAATTCACTCAAGTTATAATTTATTGAAAAAAAAGCATTTTAAGGGCAATCGTTACTTAAGAATTGCAATAACCGCGCCAGCGCCAAAATGTTAAACTTTTAGAACAATAAACGCAACAAGATACTAATAAACACTTTGAAAACCAAAGAATCGGACAAGTGTTGACACGAAAATTATATTTACTTTTGCGTTAGAAATCTGTTAACAACTTAAAGCTAGTAGTCCTTTTACACAACTTGTAGGTTTCAAACCAAAATGCATTTATCTGTACGAAACTGTAAATTGTTCATTATATCGCCGAAAAATTAAATCGTCGAATGTAAAGATCCTTCACTTAGTAAAATAATTCCAGTCCAGTGTGTACATTTTCGCAGCAATAGTTATTCTTCTGCAAATTCTGCATTTTTCATGTGAGAAGTTAGGAGAGAACATTCCGAAAATGCACACAACTGTAAACTTGACTGTAAAGTTGTTAAATTTTATTCAAACTGACTGTCAATAACATTATTTTTACTCATTGATTGTTGTTTCTTGTGGTGTTGCCGATTATTGTTGGCAATTTACTGTTATCGAAGAAGTACCCAGTGCCGTTGCCTGATTTAAGTTTTCTTCCTTTCAAATATTTAATTTTTAAGTGAGTCAATTTCTTCTATTGCAGCAGAACATAGGTGAAAACTGATATTTCAGTCTCAATTGTCATGAGTAACTTAATGGGGAAAACTATTCGTACCAAATCTCTAAAATTTCGCGATTTTTGTAAAAGGCTTTTTCTGTTAATTATTGTATTTCAGTTGCATGAAATTGTATTCCTAATGCGCTCTTTACGTAAAATTCAACTGTGTGAGTTGCATTTGTGGTAAACCATTACACCAAACATTTAAATAATAATTAACAATAAAATCATTATTATATATCGCACGCATGTACATATTTTAAATCATAAACAACATAAAACTTGAATATTTCTCTTCAAAAATATAAGTAAATTCTTCTGTGACACAGAAATCTTTGAGGAATCTTGAACGAGCCCTGATCAAGAAGAAAGACGCTAATTTAAATCGTCCACTAAATACAATCAAAAAAGATCTTTTAAAAAATATTTAGTTAGTTATACCTACCAGCAATTTATGGGCAATTTATGGCAATATATTTATTACTCTGATTACAAGTAATTGCGAAAAAAAAGAAGGTAAAAATAATAGATAAATAAAAGAAGATAAAAAAGTCATATAAACGTATGTTTTTTCCTTCTAAAAACTGCCTTTTACGGCAAACGGTTTACGGTTTACGGTAAATTACATTTACAAATATGTATAACATACCCAGAAAACTAGCACAATCAACGTTATTTTTCTTGGAATTAGTTAATGGAATAATGATGTGTATGACAAACAATTAAAACATTCAATTCTCACTTGAATTGTTTTAAAATTTTGCTCATGTTATTTTTTGTATTCAATTTTGACAATAAAGTATCATCTAATTGAAACGCTTGCTCTTGACTTTTCTTCGCCCGGATGAATACTGTCTGCTAGATAATCTTTCCTTCACCAATAAGGCAGGATGTAAAATTTTCT